CAGGAAGTGACGCAGGAGACGGGGAAAGGAGCCGGCGGGGGATTTAAACTCGGGGGCTGGCACGGCACAGGGAGAACGGTGGACGGAGCAAGGGGAGGAGAAACGGAGGGAGAGGTGAGGCAGGAGGAGCCAAGAGAAGTGGGCCGGGAGGCCTGATGGAGTAGGAAGCGGCCCAGGGCAGGGTCGTGGAGCCCGTGAACGGGTGTGTTTTGGGGCATTTCCCCCATCCGCTAGGGAGGGACCATGGGTCCCTGCCTTTAGGGCCCTGGGCCGGGGTTCGGAGAGGGGGCAGGCCCAAACCGGAGGCCTGATGGAGTAGGAAGCGGCCCAGGGCAGGGTCGTGGAGCCCGTGAACGGGTGTGTTTTGGGGCATTTCCCCCATCCGCTAGGGAGGGACCATGGGTCCCTGCCTTTAGGGCCCTGGGCCGGGGTTCGGAGAGGGGGCAGGCCCAAACCCCCCTAATCCGCTGACCAGCTCGGGTGAAGGCGCAAGCAAGCGCAATAAAGGGCCATCGGCCGTGTTGTTGACTCACTGTTGTTGACTCTCAGTGACAGACTAGTTTACAGGGTGTCATCTTGGCCTTTGACCATAGAACAAGAAGCAATGGGCTTAAACTGCAGCAAGGGAGGTTTAGGTTGGACATTAGGAAAAAGTTCCTAACCGTCAGGGTAATCAAACACTGGAATAAATTGCCCAGGGTGGTTGTGGAATCCCCATCTCTGGAGATATTTAAGAGTAGGTTAGATAAATGTCTACCAGGGATGGTCTAGACAGTATTTGGTCTTTCCGTGAGGACAGGGGACTGGACTCAATGTCCTCTCGAGGTCCCTTCCAGTCCTAGTATTCTATGATTCTGTGGCCCCCGACTGAGAAGGGGAAAGACACTCCCCACATTCCCCTCATACACCAGAACCTTGGGGGGCCCAGACTAGTAGATTTCTTGTGCTTCAGCCCCGTGGAGGGCAGTGGGGGGAGGCTAGAGCACCAGCACAGGCTTCCCAATGCTGGGGGGGAGCCCCAAGCCTTGGGAGCCGGATCCAGGCAATCTCCTCTGGGGAAAGTCTAGGTTGGGTCTTAGGAAAAACTATTTCCCTAGGCGGGTGGGGAAGCACTTGGATGGGTTCCCTGGCGGGGGAGGGTGGGGATGGAATCTCCATCCCTAGAGGTTTTGAAGTCCCGGCTTGACAAAGCTCTGGCTGAGTTGATTGAGTTGGGGTTGGTCCTGCTTTGGGCAGGGAGCTGGACTCAATGACCTCTTGAGGTCTCTGCCCGCCCTGGGATACTATGAGTCTATGATTAACAGAAATATATCAAGTGCTTACAGGTCTTAGAAATATCTTCCAAGCCATCTAAAATGGATTTGTTTCTTGAATCCAAAGTTTCTTCAAACCTGTCCAAGCATGTTTGCATCTGCAAAAACCAAGACAAATAAGAAAATTCATGGTCTGTCATCTATTCACTTGCCTTCCAGTATTTGCAATAAAGTGTGAAAACTGAAAACAAAGGCCTCAAAATAATATCCACTTATACTTTAAAATATTCTAGTTCAACAAAGTAAACATTGTACTAAACTAAAACTAAAATTAATGCACTGGAATATTGCATACCTCTTTATTTTGGACTAATTCATGTTATCTCTAACTGTATTTTCTGTTCTCATGGTACACTCATTTCATATGTAATCAATGGATGCTCACTACATTTAAATTACAGGATTACAAAGGAGTACAAGACTCAGAAGTATTTAGCAGCAGTGAGGCTGTAATGCAAGGTTACAGGACCTGTAAGATTTCAATGTAGCCAAACTAGGCATCAGGCTTTGACAGGAGTGGCCGGCCTGTGAGTGACCCTATGTTAATAAAACCAGAAGACTGCTGTGAAGGGTGTGCCAAGAGGAAACATTATGGGAATGCGCCTGTCTGGACTGCAAGACGTCTGATTATAACATCACAGAAAATTCTGTTCTCACCGCAGGTTACCATGGAAACGTGTTAATGTCAATATTAGTCGAGTGTTAAGGAAAAGGGGCACTCTGAAAAGTGCAGGACGTGCGGAAGAACAGATATGGAGAACGAGCTGGTGTTACCCTGCCAGCAGTGGCTCACAGCTCTGCGTGCCCACCACAGAGCAGGCTGTCAAAAGCAGGACCAGGACTCCAAACGGAGGGCAGAATCACAGACTGGGGTGGGAAGAGACTTCAGGAGGCCATCTAGTGCCACAATGGAGTATGAAATATGAACAGTCTCCTGTATCACTCTAGCAGCCTTGCCATGGAGTCAGCAACAGGCCTGCTCTACACTACGAGATTGGGTCGAAGTTAGCCGCATTCGGCTGATTTGATAATTAATGTGTCTGCACCAACAAGCTGTGAGGAAGTGGGGAGTTTTGGGGGCGCAAAGGGAGGTGCTGCATGCAGGGGAACACTCAGTGCCCGGATGTTACTGGTTTAATGTGACAAAGGGGGGGGGGGAGTTTGTTGTTTCAGAGAACAGCCCAGAATTGGAGCTGTGATGTCTGGGACCCTGGTGACCCCGGCCCTGCTCAGAGGACACGGCTGGATCTGGCCAGAGGACAGACAATGGGCTGCAGAGAGGGACCCTGGCAAGCGGCCCAGCTGATCCCAGCAAGGGGAGAACATTGGACGGAGGTGAGGAGATGGAGAAGGGAGAGACTCAGGCGACCCTGTTTCCTGGGGAGAAGACAATGGACACGGGAAGGGCTGTTGCTGGGGCTATTGGAGGCTCTGCTGGGAGCCTGGGGGCTGTTTTTGGGGACTGAGAGCAGAGCAGGCAGAGCTCAGCCAGCTGCAGGGGAGACTGACGTGGGGCTGAGGGCCCAGGCCAACTGGCCTGAGGGATTCTTTGCTGTGTTCAAAGCTCAACAGACCCTCCTGTTTGGTGCTGGCTGATATCCTTCTGGGAGTGAAGGCCAGAGGGAGTGGACCCCCCGAGGGGGCTCACGGCAGAGGAAGGCAGCTAAAGGCCCTGAGATGTGCTGTCCTGGAGGCGGAGGGGAGGACCCCCCCCAGATGAGGGTGGGCACCCTAAAAGAGGGTTGCTTCCCTGGAGTGGACTCCCTGAGAAAGGGCCATCTCACTGCCGCTCAAGAGGAGTGTGCTCCCCGAGAAGGGGCTGCCACACAGGAGGGGGAGTCCTGCCTGGGGACAGATGGGCCAAGCATGGGCATGACCTGTGAGCCATGACACAAGCTCCTTCCGCTGACCGGAAGGGGTTTTAAAATCGACTGCTGTTCCCCCCCTGGAAGAGAGGAGCAGTGCTAAATTCAACCTTCTGGGGTTGAACTTGGGGTCGTGGAGACACAGCACTGTGCAATTTGAAGTGCTTGACCTGACCTGTGGGAGGTGGCCCACAGTGCCCCAATGTGCTTGCTCTGGCCAGCACTTTCAACTCCTCTGCCCCAGGTGCACAGGAAAAGCCCTTGGAAATTCTGAAATTCACTTCCTGGGCGGCCAACACAAGGGGCCCAGCAGCTCACCTGACCGTGAACGCCCAGGGTTGCAAAGGAGCTCCAGCACGGAGCATGCAGGAGATCCTGGAGCTAACTGCTGGGGGGCGGAGAGGTATCTGTGCAGGCAGAGGAAACACTGATTGCACAGGCGTGGTGGGAAAAGGATACAGCAGGGACAGCCAGCAGTGCCGTGGGACCAGCAGAAGAGTGCAGGCAAGACAAAGGAAGCGGTCTCCCTGGGTCAGAGCCACAGACACACCACTGCATAGGATTCTAGGCAGGGACCAGCATTCCCAAACAAGGATTCTAGGCAGGGACTTGACCTGACCTGTCCTGTGCGTGAGCACCTCCCAGGCTAGCCATCAGGCAACAGTGAGGAGGACACTGTCCGTGTTGAAGGGGGGGAGGAGGATGCTCAGCAGGCGAGCAGCAGATCCTGTCTCACCCACAGCCAGGACCTTTCCTAACTGAGCCAACCCCCCAGGAATGACTGTAGCCCGAGCCTGATGGCAAGGAGGGCACTGCTAGTGAGTGTGCACTTAGTAGCTAGAGTGGTTAGTGTAGCTCAGTTTAACATTTGGTCCGCCCTGAACAATTCAGTGACTCAGCGGTGGCTCTGTGGACAAGGGTTGTTTGTGTGCTTGGAGCTGGAGGGGGAGTCTGCCCTCCACACTCTACAAAGTTCTTGCTGAGGCACTCTGCAATCCTTCGCAGGAGGGTTCTGGGGAGGCTGCCTTATTCCGCCCGCCACGGAAGGGCACCTCACCACACCAAGCCAGCAGAGAGTGATCTGTCATCACTGCAGCCCAAAGCTGAGCAGCAGAGGTCCAGGTCTAAGGGCGACATGCAGCATCTTTGTGACGATCCCTGCCATGCTCTCTGATTCGGAGAAGACTGATTCTGCACATAGTGACTGATGGGGGTGAAATGGGGGAAGTTTTGTACAGGTCGAACCTTCCTAATTTGGACTCTCTAGTCTGTCAACACCCCTGCTCTGGCATCGTCAGTGACGCAGTGGGTGCTCCAGGTCTGGAGCTCTGACTAGGAAAAACTGGCAGGCGGGGGCCTGGAGTGTTGTGGGACCAGGGAAGAGTGGAACTTGGCAGGATGGGGGAGTGGAGGCCCAGTGCCCCAGGGCTGACACTGGAGCCCTGACACCCCAGGGACTGGCAGCAGGGGAGCCATGGGCAGGCAGCCAACAGAATGCAGGGGAGCCCCACTGAGCCAAACCCTGGCTCCCCTGGAGCCTCAGGGGCTAAGGACCAGGAGCAGAGGGGCCAACATTGACCTTTTCTGGTCTGGCAAATTCCCTGCTCTAGCTGTCACAGCACTGAGGCCATCCACGTCTGCTTGCTCATCCTCAACAAATGATGAGCTCAGGTGTGCTGACCTGTTTGCAGTGGGCTTGAAGGGATTATCCCATGCTGTGCGGGAGGGGGAGACCCTGTGCTGACATTTGTACCCCTCCTGTAGCCCACCCCTCCAGGTGAAAGTAGCAAATGAGGGCTCCAGTCTGCAAGCACGCTGTGCACCCAGTCCTCCTCACAGCCACCGAGAAAGCCCCCTCTCCCAGATGGCCTAGAATGCAGGGAGAGGAGAGGTGGGGAGAAGGCAGGGGAAGCTTTTCACTCAGCTCCAAGGCATGGCTCATGGAGGACAGTGTGGGATGCCATTCCCACAGCTCTGACTGCTACACAGGGGACTGTAATAAGCCACATCCTTGTGCTCCCTGCCCTGCGCCCCTCCCCATTTTCAGACCCTTGTTTATGCCTGCAATTCCTTTCCATGCAGTGATACTGGGCTCTGTGTCGCTACATACAAATGCATGCTTTCAGAAGAGGTTCTTTGTTCATTGTGCCAACTGTGATGGGGAGTGGGTGTTGTTTCGCAGGGGAGTACACGAACAGCTGGAGGCAGCTTGGTAATGAGCCACACACAACTGACACATCACGGTCTGGTCAAAGCCTCCCGTGTGCAGTGCACCTCAGTGTACTGTTTTTAGTGCCCTGGTGTCTGGCTGCTCGCAGTTGGCCATCAGGCAATCTGCCTCAGCCCCCCTCCCTGCCAGCAACTGTTCCACTTGCTTTCACAGCTCTTATGTAGCACACAGCAAGCGGCAACAATGGGAATATTGCTTTCACTGAGGTCTAACCTAGTCAGGAAACTGTGCCAGCTTTCAAACAGCCACAGGCACATTCTATCACCATGCTGCACTTGCTCAGCCTGCAGTTTACTCCCTGCTCTCTGGCCTGCCTATGTGAAATTCATGAGCCACAGGAGCAAGGGGCAGGCTGGGCCTCCCAGGACAACTCTTGGCATTTCAACATCACCAAAAGTCATTTTCCAATCTGGGAAGAAAGTTCCATCTTGCAGCTTTCTGAAGAGACTGGAGTTCCTAAGGATGTGTGCATCATGCACCTTTCCCCCAGTGCTTGCAACATTTCCCTGGCTACATGAAGCACAGCAGCCCCCACTGTAGATTTATCCACTCTGAGTTGATTCCCAGCTGACCAGTAGCTGTCTGGCATTGCAAGCTTCCATAGAGCTAGTGCCACTTGCTTCTCCACTGCCAGAGCAGGTCTCATCCTGGGATTGCTGCGCTCCAGGACAGGAGAAAGCAATTCACAAAGTTCAATGGAAGTGGCCTTACGCATGCAAGAGTTTTGCAGCCACTGCTGATCATCCTGTAATTGCGGCATTATGTGGTCCCACCATCTGTGTTTTTCTCAATATGTCAACATAGTCACCTGCCGCCAGTGTACGCCGATTGCTCCATTCAATGGATTCTTACATGTCTACATGCACATGGCCTCCTCACATTCTTCCCCACACAGGCAACTCCTGGCGAGGCGCTGGAGAAACTGCAGCACAAAGTGTGAGGTGTTTGCAATGTTTGCCACAACAGGGTGCAGCCGCGTGATGTCCATGCTTATTGCGCTATGGTGTCTGCGTGGATAGTCAGGGGGAAAAGGGCACTAAATGGCTGTTTGCCATTGCTTTCAGGGAGGGAAGGAGGAGGTAAGTGTATGCTAGGAGGTGGACAACATATACACAGATCCACCTGTGACAATGTGTAACCAAAATGGAGCGTTTTAGTATTGGTATAAGAATGTAAATATGATGTATAATCTGCTTATAAGTTCTGTGTGCTTCATTTCACCCCACCTCTTGTGATTAAACAATGTCTACCCTGCAAACTAAGTTGTGTCTTCTCGTAATTCTGTAATTAATAAGTTGGGTTCCGACTGCCTGGGTGTGATGTAGTGGGGGGGGGGAACTTTCTGGTTTCTATGGGTCTGTGGTAACCCCCACTGGCTGCCGCCGGTGCCACAGCCCAGAAGGACAAGGGATGAGTCATTATGCAAAGGGATCTCTCAACCTGCCCGACCAGCTATCCCCCATGGAGAGGAACAAAGGAAGGTGGATGCTGCCCTGGCCGGGGGGCAGGGCTGGAGGAGAGTTAGTTAGTTTCTGTCTGGGAGCATGGAGGAAGCAGCCTCAGCAACAGGCTGGGGGGTTTAGAAGCCGAGGCCCCCTCCCCCATATCAAGGGGGGCGGAGGCATCCTAGGCCTGCCCTGTAACCTGATGACATCTGTGCTGTGCTGTATGCTGGAGAAGCAATAAACCACCTCTATTCTACTGGCTGGTGGAGTCTGTTCGTGCCATTCTGGGGGTGCAGGAGGCGGGGGAACCCCAACACGTCGTCACACTGGGAGCGGCTTGTTCAGGCAGTGCTGGGGCGTCCGTGGGAGCCAGCAGTGGTGGCATGTGCAGCTTTGTCGGCATCGGTGGATTAGTGGCACTGGTAGGTGCTGAGTGCTTAGGTTCTGACTCAGCTCTCCTGGCTGATGTAGATTTACAATTCTCCATGGTGCCAAAGACTGACAGCACCGAGGAACGGGAGGCTCAGGGCAGCGCAGGCAGCAATCGTGCCAGAGAAGCTAATGACAGTTGTGAGCCTCTATGGAGCGATGAGACAGCCCTGTTATTGAGCTTCTGTTGCCCCCCCATGTCTCCTGGGACTTATCCCCTGATGGTTGGAGGGATTTCTCCCCTAGGAGGTTCTTCAGCCGCGTTTCACGGTCTTCTCTAGCCCTGGCTGTCATGTTTAAATAATGCTGCACTTCTCTGCTGCGTGACTGTCGCCCAGACATTTCACACAGGACGCGTGTCCATCCGAAACTGGCACTGAATCCTGGCATTAGTAGCAGTTCTTAAAGCCGGGAGAGCCCATTTATTTATTTATTAAAAAGGAAGCATGTTGAGAAAGGAAAAGAAGCCCCCGCAGCGTTTTTTCTTTTCTTTTTTTTAACTGAAGGATTCGTTGAAAACTCTTATGAACTGATTAAACATCTGCTATTTCTAAACGGTGCTATTTGTTTGTTTTCCGTCAGAAAGGAGAGTGCTGCTGTGACTGTCTTCAGCCGAGGACAATAGAAAAGGAACTGAGGGAGGCTCACACTGCGCGTGCACCTAACACACAACAACAGCACGAGATGGCGAGTGCACAAGCGTGGCGCGAGGGGCACTGCTAGGCAAAGATATCCGATCAGCAGCACGAGGATGCATCGAGACCTGAGTGGCACACCCACAGAGATACCACTTGACGGAGAAATAAAACTTCCAGCTTCCCAAAAGGCTTTTCAGAATACTCCGATTGTCTCTTGGGATCTCTGCTTGGCCTCCAATACCCTTCCCTGCAAGGCCAAGTCTGTACTGGCACTTTCTGGCTCAGGGGCATGAACCAAGAGGCCTCCCCCCACATGGCACTGTAAAGCACCAGTGGGAACCAGGCTCCAGTGCAGAGAGCTGCACTCCCGGCACTGTTAGCTCCCCCTTGCGGAGGTGCTTTACACAAAGTGCTGGGGAACGCTTTCCCAGCGGGTGCCGTGGCCACACTTTCTGTTCACAGTGCTGTCGCAGATGCACCTCAAACTGTTAAGTGTAGGCAAAGCCCAAGAGAATCATAAGGGATAACTCCAACCAACTGATCTGAACCCAGGAGCATTGCAGGAGCGATGCTTGTGCCCTAGGGTGGGAGTGTGGAAACTTTTCTGGGTCGGGGGTCAATGACTCCCAGAAAAATCAGTCGGTGGCTGCACACAAGTGAGAAGCAAAACAAGAAAACCCAAACCCTCGCTGACATGGCCCCTGACTGAGAAGCAGAAAGACACTTCCCACATTCCCTCGCACACTAGAACCTAGGGGGCCCAGGCTAGTATATTTTATGTGCTCTAGTCCCATGGGGCAATGGTGGGGGGGGTAGAGTGCCAGCGTAGGCTCCCCAGTGCTGGGGGGAGCCCCAAGCCTCGGTGTCTAGATCCAAGCAAGCTGGAGGCTGTATCTGGCCCCCCGGCCTTAGGTTCCCCACCCCTGCCCTAGGGAAAAAGAACCATCAATTCAATTGCAGACAAAGACTACCACTTGGAATATGGATGTACTTACCCCCTGAATGCTTTCTTTGACACTGGAAACAAAGGTGCTTAAAACTTCACTAAAATGGAAACACAGAAAGCATAAAATAGGTATGCAAGTTACTGAAGCAATTAGAAACAAGAAAGCTAAGGGGGAGTGTGTGACTTGAAACACTGCAAGGCATGATGCAGTCCTTTACCCTCAAAACCAGCTTACTTTCATTAGAAAAACCTCATTAGCTTTCTCTAGGGCAAGGTAAACTCCGGTCATTTGAAGAAGTGGGCTGTGCCCACGAAAGCTCATGATCCCATCTACATGTTTTTTAGTCTCTAAAGTGCTATCAGACCATTGGTTGGTTTTTAAATGTATCCTGTACAGACTAACTCGGCTACCCCCTGAAGCTTCTAGGACAAGGGTTTGTTAAAATCCTCCCTCTCTTGCTTTGGCATTGGTGCTAGCAACAGAGGGAAGAACTGTAGACTAGCCATTAGCATTTTTATCAATAGGCTGTCTGCCCAGAACAGGACTACATAAGAGGAGGGTCAAATCCCTGCAGATGATCTACACTAGAGCAGTGACAGTGCTAAAGCAACAACAGGAACATTTCAGAAAATCTTCATTGCAGACAAAGCCAGTGTCAGGAAGACGTTAACAGAGGATAGCAAAGGCCTTTCACCTGAACAACTGAACGTGTTTTCTGTAAATTAATCTAACTCTTTGATTAGTGCCAACCAATCAGAATTCATATTCTTTTCATGATTAACACATCAAGGCCAAAATACAAAGACCATGAAGCAATGAGCTAACTAGTCTCCTATTTCTGAGAATTCAGGTTGTTTTGGATTGACCATGTAACCATGTCTCAAACTGCAGCACCCCAAAGGGGAGGGGAAGCAGAGTCTATTAACTTGTGGGTAAGTTGGGGCACTGAACCATGTCTTTTGCTGTCACGTTACTGGATTTTGAGGGGAGCAGCCATATCACTGCTGCACCCGTGGGGGGGTGTTTGCCCCAAAAGTTGGTACAAAGGGGGCCATGTGAGGTGTCAAACAAAAGCTACTTTCTACTGATTCTATATATGCTCTTCATATATCTGTGCAATGTCTGTGTGTGGAGTTATGAATAGGTACTCTGTATGGAGACTGGAAGTTTCTCTGTATGGGGTTGAGTAATGGGCCAAGAATGTTTGCCCATGGACATGCTAATGAGCAAAGCTCTGGAACAATAGCCCTCTATAGGCCAAGGACACACCTCAAGAATGGGGACGGATACCTAAGGGCTACCAACAGCGGATACAGGGACAGGCCACGGGCCAGGTGACCTGCTGCAGCCAAGAAGAGACCAGGAAGGAGGTATAAATATGCCATGTGGTCAACTCCATCTTTGTCTCCAGATCTGTTCCTGACCTCAGATGCGGCCTTGCAGGGATTCACGAGCCAGGAAGAACTGTGGACCCATCCTGGCATAGGATGTGCACCAAGGACTTTTAAGCCAGCAGTTATAATATCTCTGCTAAAGCCTGCATTGAGAACTGGGAGATTCGATGCATGTAATGTATGATACTTTAGCAACCTCACTCTCATGCTTTTCTTTCCTTTAGTAATAAACCTTTAGATGTTAGATTCTAAAGGATTGGCTCAGCGTGATTTGTGGGTAAGGTCCAGAGGGTAAATTGACCTGGGAACTGTGGCTGGTTTCTTGGAACCGGACAGAACTTGTTTGGGGTAGGTGAGATTGGGTTCTAAGACCCCCCCCCACCGGTGTATGAGGCCCGAGGCCATCTGGGGCATGGATACTGCTGGGGTGTCGGAGAGGTTTTGCTCGTGAGGCTTCAGGCAGGCAGCTGAAGCACTCCGTGGGACTGGTGTGTGGCCTGTTTGGGAAGGTCTCCAGACTGGGGGCTGTAAGGAGTCCCAAATTCGAGCAATTCGCCCTGAGCGGACGTCCTCAGCTGTGCCCAGACCTGGCCCGGTCCGTCACAATTGCTAGGAAAAGAGGAGGGTCCTTGCAATAGTCAAACAGGTGGGGATACAACTTGATTCATTTACTTTACAATGGTGATAGTGATATTGCTATTGTAACTGTCTAATTCTTAGAGTGAGATTTCCTCTTGAAATACCAACTTCCCCCTCCCCAGAGAGATTCAGCCAGGAGCTCAACTAAGGTACGAAACTGATAGGCGCCACACTACAGGGGTTTTCAAACTCTGGCTTGTAGCTTGTAAGGGCAAGCTGCTAGCTAGCTGTGAGACACTTTGTTTACCTGCACTTCTGCAGGTATGGGCGACTGCAGCTCCCGCTGGCTAGGAATGGCGCTCCATGGCCAACGGGAGCTGCGATCGTCCGTACCTGTGGAGGAGCAGGTAAACAAAGTATCTCACTGCCAGCAAGTGGCAAGCCACAGCCCAGAGTTTGAAAACACCTACCATATTAAACCCTAAGACAGATTAGACAGAATCTTTATAGGCTTCCTTTTGTTGTCTAGTTCTCTCTCTGCGTAACAGCAGTGGCGGTGATATGGGAGGAGCGTTGCTCCAGCAGTATGGAAGGCTGAAGGTCTGATCGCATACAACCATGCTGTAGTGGCTTTCCGCTCGCCACAGTGCCACCTGCCGTCGAGTTGGGGAATTAGCACTGCTGGCAGGTGGCCAGATCCCTTTCAGGACACTGCCCTCCGGCAATGTCCACAACAGCCTGAGCTTTTCCCCCCTTCCGGGGGACGGTTAGTTGTAGGTCGGCAGGCCTTTGGGAGGCGGTTCCTCCGCCCCTGGTACAATGGGTGGCTAGTCCACCCTATGGCCCTACCGTGCCTTAAAATAGTCCAAGTCTATGAGTCTATTTCCGGCCTTATTTCAGGTCGGGGTGAAAGACAATAGTTCAGGGGCCTGACCTAGCTTCAGGCCCGGGCCACTGGGGAAGAAATTCTCCGTATATTCAAGTCTCTTAACTCAGTTATGGGCAGGACAACAGTCCTAGTCCTGGCCCTTTGAAAGGTCCGGTCTGGATCCTGGCTGGGTAGCAAAAACACCCTACGGAAGCCCTGGCCCTCGGGCAGGGCAGGGCAGGGCAGGGCAGGGCAGGGCAGCGGAGTACAGGGTGGAAGCCTGGGCCCTCAAGCAGGGCGGGGCGGCAAAACACAGTAAGCTGAGCCCAGGCCCTTGGTACAGGGCGGGGTGGCTAATTAACAATGGCGGCCAGGCCCTAGTGCAAGGCGTGGCCGCAAACCAGACAGAGTGAGTAAGCCCTAGCCCTGGAGCAGGGCGGGACAACCAACACAATAAGCAAAGCCCACCCAAACTCAGGGCGGGGCAGCAAATGGCGGCCAGGCCCTGACGCAAGGCGTGGCCGCAAACAAACACACAGGTTTGTAGAAGCTCCTAGTTCAGGGGGGGGGAGACTGCCACCCAGTTAGTGGGTGGCAGGGGGCGCAGGCCCACCCACTCCACTGCGCCCCGGCCCAGGGGCCCTGATTGCAGCAGTGCAGCAGCTACTGGCTCAGCAGGGGCTCCAGCCCGCAACTTGCTGGCCTAGGGCTGCTCTCAGCCCGTGCTACCCCCTGGACCACTTCTTGTCTCCCCCTTCACTGGTACCTGTAGCTGCAGCAGGAGGAAGGAAGCGGAGGGTCGAGAGTAGGAAGAAGTCCAGGGCAGGGGTTGGAATTGAGCCCTGTGAGCCGGAGGGTTTCGGGAAAAGACTCCCCTGCCGGCTGAGCAGGTGTGGTGGGACCTGCTCTTAGGGCCCTGAGCTGGGGCCCGTGAGTGAGGGCGGGCCCAGGCCCCCCTGCTCCCTCCCACTGCTGGAAGACCACGCCTGAGCGCCGAAGGCACAGCAGCTGCAGAGGCTAGCGTGTTAGACTCACAACCGGGGCTAGCCGCTGACTGAGACCCCGGCGTATGGGAAAGAGGGAGAACCTTGCCCGTCGCAGACTGGACGCTGGGGGACGCACCCCCCAACAATGGGCAACAAGGGTTTCTTGCGCAATAAACCCCTATGGCTAAAATGGCCATCAGAGCTTTCTTGTGCAAGAGAGCATCCACACTGCCATGGACGTTCTTGCAGAACAGCACATCTCTTGTGTACATGGCAGTGTGGATGTGCTCTTGCACAAGAACTTTTTTCTTGCACACGAGTTGCGCAAAAAGTTCTTGTGCAAGAAGCCTGCAGTGTAGATGTAGCCTAGATGTTGACCAGAGAGGCGTATATTCACAGCTTTCGAGCTCGGGTGTTGTGGAAAGCCAGGGTTCTGTTCTTGGAAGGCACCATGATGGCCACCATAAATGATGATCTTCTTCCACTGCCTGTTGGTAATAACCATGTCCAATTGCCGTTGGCAGTCCACTCTGGAGATGGTGGAGTTCACAGCAACCTTCCACCAATGTGGTGGGATGACTGACCAGGCGATCTTGGATGGTGTTATGTGGCAGCTGCCAGGCTCTGGAGAGGGGCTTGCAGCTACTCAAGATGTGAGGCAGTGCCTTGTTGGCATAGCTGCACTTCCTGCATTGCTTGTCTCAACTCCTGTGGCCGACGGCTCTGTTCAGCAGAACACAGTTGAGCCAGGCCCAGAGGCTGTACTCCATTCAGCAAACTGGGTGAAAGGAAGTGGCTGTTGGCGTCCCATTTGCACATTACCGTGAAGGCCTTGCCCTGGTCTGGCTTCCATTTCAGGTTTTTATGTGCAGGCAGCAGATGGCATCCTCCAGGGTCCTCGCCAGCTCTCAGAGTTCTAGCTCTCAGAGCAGTGAGGCTTGTGCATTCACCTGTGGCACTAGGACTTCCAGCTCTGCATCCAGCGAGAGCCTAGAGGCTTCTCCAGCACTGCATTGTGGACATGTGTCTAGGTGAAGCAGTCTCCCCCCTCTACCAAATGTGATTCTAAAACTATTTGTAACCCAACACCAGCCACAACCGATCACTCAATACTACACAACTCCTGTCCGTTACATACCTAGGCAAAGTAGGTGTGTTCGTGTAACTACTGTTTGTTCCTGAAGTCTCCCCCCTCCCCGGGGAGAGTTCAGTCTGACCCGGCTTCCTTATGTATAACCCTCTCTCATAGGGTGTGTCTAGACTACAGGATTTTGTCGACAAAAGTCCACTTTTGTCGACAAAACTATACCTGCGAATACACTGCCGCTGAGTTCTGTCGACATAATGTCAACAGAACTTGGCAGTTTTGTCGACGGCTGTAAACCTCATTCTACGAGGAATAACGCCTTTTGTTGACAGAGTTCTGTCGACAGAAGACATTATGCATCTACACTGTCCTTTGCATCTACACTGTTGTGTTGACAAAGTGTCTTGCTTTGTCGACAGAACTGGATGTAGTCTAGACGCTCTTTGTCGACAGAAGCTTTGTCAACAGTATCTGTCGACAAAAATTCTGTTGACAAAAACCTGTAGTCTAGACGCACCCATACTGTGAATTCTTTCATTCAGAAAGCATCTACAAGCATGACACTTTTCCTGTAGGACTCTGCAGCTTGGTCATGTTACTTCTTTTTGCTCTGAGAAGGCCAACCGTCAGCACAGTTGGCATTGGCAATGGATTCATGCATACCTGTCATATTTCTCCTTTATGGTTTTCTTATTCACTTCAAACTGCTCCAAGATATTCTTGAGCTTTCCAACACCAAAATTAAATGAACCTTTTTCCCTTTCATCGCCACCAAACAACTGTGGTTTTGTATGGTATTTGGTAAAAATACTGGGCTCGCTCTGTTAGGGAAAAAGAAAAACATGACAATATTTAAGGTACAAAACACTCAGAACATTCAATAGACAAAACATTCATGCCCCAGGTTCTCTGAGGAGTGTGGGGCACTCTCAGTACTGAAAGCCACAGTGAACAGGTGTGACAAGTTGCATTGAACAGACAGATTAAGAATTTCATGAGATTTGGTTCATCTGAAGTAGCTACATCGACATCCCTGAGAAGGGAAGGAAGGCTGGCTGTATTCCCATCAGACTGAACCAGGAGCAACTGTACTTAGATAGCATAGTTTAAAAAGAAGGGCTCCCCCACCTCGTTCTGTGTAGTGCGCTGTACTGGTTGCCATTGCTAAATACCCCAGATACAGCCAAAAAAACCCGATATGCTGTGCTTGAAACGATGCTGAAAGCACAGCAAGTCCAG